AACCACCAATCAGTTCTTTTTGTCTTCATGTTTAACTTCCACCTATGAGTGGAGTCATGCAGAGTTCGTCTTTCTCTATCCGGCTTATTTCACTTAACATAATACCCTCGAGGTGCATTCACGTTGTTGTGAACGGGATGATTTTATCCTTTTTTATGGCTGAGTAGTATTCCATTGTATATATATATATATATACACCATATTTTCTTTATCCAATCATCAGTTGATGGCACTTAGGTTGCTTCCACATCTTGGCTATTGTAAATAATGCTGCAATGAACATTTGGGTGCCTGGGACTTTTGGAATTGCTGATTTCAAGTTCTTTGGATAGATACCCGGTAGTGGGATGGCTGGGTCATATGATATTTCTATTTTTGATTTTTTGACAAATCTCCATACTGTTTTCCATAGTGGCTGCACCAGTTTGCATTCCCACCAACAGTGTATGAGGGTTCCTTTTTCTCCACAACCTCTCCAACATTTGTCACTTTTTGTTTTGGATATTTTTGTGATTCTAACAGGTGTAAGGTGATATCTCAGTGTAGTTTTGATTTGTATTTCCCTGATGATTAGTGATGATGAGCATCTTTTCATGTGTCTATTGGCTATCCATATATCTTCTTTGGGGAAATGTCTGTTCATGTCCCCTGCCCATTTTTTTTTTTTTAAAGATTTTATTTTTTTTCCTTTTTCTCCCCAAAGCCTCCTGGTACATAGTTGTATATTCTTCATTGTGGGTCCTTCTAGTTGTGGCATGTGGGATGCTGCCTCAGCGTGGTTTGATGAGCAGTGCCATGTCCGCGCCCAGGATTCGAACCGACGAAAAACTGGGCCGCTTGCAGCGGAGCGCGCGAACTTAACCACTTGGCCACGGGGCCAGCCCCTCCCCTGCCCATTTTTTGATCAGGTTGTTTGATTTTTTTTTTTTGGTTGAGCTGTGTGAGTTCTTTATATATTATGGAGATTAACCCTTTGTCAGATATTTAACTTGTAAATAGCTTTTCCCAATTAGTGGGCTGTTTTTTTGTTTCAATCCTTTTCCTTTGCCTTGAAGAAGCTCTTTAGTCTGATGAAGTCCCATTTGTTTATTCTTTCTATTGTTTCCCTTGTCTGAGAAGACATGGCATCTGAAAAGATCCTTTTGATACTGATGTCAAAGAGTGTACTGCCTATATTCTCTTCTAGAAGTCTTATGGTTTCAGGTCTAATCTTTAGGTCTTTGATCCATTTTGAGTTTATTTTTGTGAATGGTGAAAAAGAATGGTCACTTTTCATTCTTTTACACATGGCTGTCCAGTTTTCCCAGCACCATTTGTTGAAGAGTCTTTCTTTTCTCCATTGTAGGTCCTCAGCTCCTTTGTTGAAGATTAGCTGTCCATAGATGTGTGGTTTTATTTCTGGGCTTTCAATTCTGTTTCATTGATCTGTGCACCTGTTTTTGTACCAGTACCATGCTGTTTTGATTACTGTAGCTTTGTAGTATGTTTTGAAGTCAGGGATTGTGATGCCTCCCGTTTTGTTCCTTTTTCTCAGGATTGCTTTAGAAATTCGGGGTCTTTTGTTGCCCCATATGAATTTTAGGATTCTTTGTTCTAATTCTGTAAAGAATGTCATTGGGATTCTGACTGGGATAGCATTGAATCTGTAGATTGCTTTAGGTAGTATGGACATTTTAACTATGTTTATTCTTCCAATCCACGTGCATGGAATGTCTTTCCATCTCTTTATGTCATCATCAATTTCTTTCAAGAAAGTCTCGTAGTTTTCGTTGTATAGATCTTTAACTTCCTTTCTTAAGTTTATCCCAAGGTATTTTATTCTTTTTGTTGTGATTGTGCATGGGATTATCTGTATTCTCTTTTAACTCATTTAGTTTTTTAATGATGGCTATTTTGAATTCATTGTCATTTAGGTTATAGATTTCAGTAACTTTGGGATTGTTTTCTGGGTACTTGTCATTTCCCTTCTGTTCTGGAGATTTAATATATTTTTTCATACTGCTTGATGGCATGTATTTGTACCTCCGCACAGAGATAGAGTTTAGTTACTGCTCCACTTGCTTCTACTGGACTTGGGGGCAGCAGCTGTGTAATCTGCACCTACCAGGATCCCTGTCAGCTGTTGCTGACCGGACCTGGGCCCCTCCTCGTGATCACAGTGGCCCTGCACGGTCTCTTGTCAGCTGTGGGGACAATCGCAAGGGAGCCTCGGGTTGCTGGTGCCTACTGTCACAGACCGCCTAGACATGCTCCCTCCTTAGGGTGTGCAGCAGTGTTATGGGCTTTCACAGAGGCCAGGAGTAGGTTCACCTCGACTCGCAGCTTTGCCACCATCAGGGCCCGCAAGACCTCACTTGTCCACTATGGGCCTCAGCAGAGCTATGGGTATCTATTGCAGTCTGTGGTTATCTCACCCAGCGGTGCTACTTCTGCCCCAGGGCCTTCCAGCCTTGTGATTGCTGGGTGGCGCCTCTCCACTAACACCACGCAGAAGCTTTTCCTGCTCCTGCTGTGGGACTGTGGATTTTCCCCTGGACCGTGGTGCAGTCTCGCTCGGGCTCCAACTTGCCACTGCCAACTCACATGGTCCCTCTGGGTCTCCCTTGCCCGCTCTGGGCCACAGCAGGAGTTTGTGTGTTAGAGGCGGCTGGCAGGTTGCTGCACCGGCCAGCTCCTTTTGTCCCAGGGCCTCCCAGCATTCTGAATGCTGGGCGGAGCCTCTCTGCTAAAGCCGAGTAGAGGCTTTCCCTGTGGCTGCTGTGGGACTGTGGATTTTCCCACTGGGCTACGGAGCAATCCGGGGGGGCAGGGCTTAAGTAGGGCTGGAGTCACCTGTTTCCACCATCATGCTGCCCATACACATGCACACCGGCCCTTGGTGCTGTGGCGATGCAATGAGCATGTCAGCTGGTAAAAAGTTGCTGGCAGGTACTAGGCTGTCCGGGGGTCAGAGAGTTTTCACCTATCTCCACTTCCTCCTGGGGGGAAGTCTGTCCACCTTCTGACGTATAGCAGCACGGGTCTCTCAGGCGTCCTGAGATGCTGTGTGGATATTCTTTGTCCATTGATGAATGTCGAATTAGTTTTAGTTCGAAGGGGGAGAGACAAAGAAAACTGCTCACTCCACCATGTTGCTCACGTCACCCTAAAAGATTTCTTAATAGAACAACAGAACATATCCAAACATATTCCCTGGGATGAATTTTCCTTTGACTTGGCTTAATGGGATCTCCGGGATTTACAAAAAATTCTTTTGCCACTCTTGCTGCCATTAGTCTTGTTACCAGTATTGAATAGACCAGGGCTGGCCCTTCAACGCCATGAATTATGGCATATTATTTGAATTGAGAACTTTGTTCCTATGAAAAGTAAGAATGCTTCTGGAATGAGGACGGCCTTGAACCAGCCAGAGCCTTCTCTATTCATATCAATGGGCTCTACCACAAGGAGACCACAAGCCAGAGAGGAGAGCTGAGCACATCTGTCAAGGCATGACAGGCAAGTCACCTGACCTCTTTGGATCCTGTTCCCTCAGCTGTAAAACCAGAAGCTTGGGCTGGATAATCCATAATGTCTCTAAAGCTAAGATGCTAGGCTTGTGAAAAATACTGCCTCTGAAATACTAAAATATTGTCGTATGTCTGCAGATTCAGGCAATTCCAGGGCCATTATAAGGCAAAGCAAAGCTCAGATTTGACGAGGGGAGAACTTCTCTTCAAAGACTTCCTCTTTTTTTGTTTTTCCCTACCCCAAAGCCCCAGTGCATGGTTGTATCTTCCAGTTTTAAATCCTTCTAGGTCTTCTACGTGAGCCGGGGCCCCAGCACGGCTACTGACAGAGGAACGGTGTGGTCCCTCGGCCCGAATGGAACCCAGGCTGCTGAAGCAGAGTGAGCAAAACTTTAACCCCTACGCCCTGAGGGCTGGCACTAAAGACTTCCTCTTATATATGGAAATAAGGCAGACAACATCAACACAGGAATAAGTCAGGCTATTTTACGCAATGTGAAATACCCTCTAAACTTCCTAGGATCACTGTCACACCCTATTGTAAAAAGGGGACTCAAGTAGACCACGTGACTTTGAGACCCTGAACTACACCTGTGGTATTTCTTGGGAACCCCGGCATCGTTACAGACAGCTATGTATTTTTAACTCATCTTATGCTTATAACAACCTGAAAAAGGAGTAACAGCCTATATTTTCGAGTCAGGAAAGGGAGGTATTAGAGATTTTTGCGGCTTGCGTGAGGCCCACAGCCAGTGGGCGTCAGAGGATTTTAAACTTGCCTGCGCACAAGGTGCAGGTGTCCCGAACCCCCGGAACCTCCTGGTCCGCGCACACCGGCTAAGGTGCTGCGCTTCCTCACCGCCCCCGTGTGGCCCGCTGCGCGCGGACTGGCTCAGCCCTCCGACAACCTCCGAGTTAGATACGTGTAGTAATGTCGTCCTCTTTGACGGGCAGGCTCGCTCTGGGACCGGCCTGTGTTGCTGCAGGAGCGGGGCGTTACCGCCACCAGGCGGACCCTGCAGCGTGGATGAGGGTCTGGAGAAATTTGGAGGAAGGAAAGCGGTGGGTGTCCTGGTGTTTGGGTTCTCCGGAGCAGTGAGGAGCCTCTCCAGCTGTGGTCCCCGCATGCTACTGCCTGTCCCTGAGCTCCCCGGGGCTTTGCCCCGCTTCGCGCCCAGGGATCTGTGTGTCCCAATTACCGTGCACGGTTTTCGCCTCTGCTTCAGACGGCGAAGCGGCCGAGGAGCAAGCGCCGAGGAGAGCGCAGGCCGCGGGGGTCCGATCTGGAGCCGCGCCCCGCGCCGCAGCTCCGGCCCCGGTCTCGGCGCTCACCTCCCGCCCGCAGCTCAGCGGGCCCGGCGCGGGGCGGGGCGCGCCGGGGTGGGCGGGGCCGGGGCCGACATCCGGGGCCGGCGCGGGGAGCAGCGCCGCCGGAGGCTCCCGGGAGCGCCGGGACTCGCCGGGCTGGGCGTGCGCGGTCCGGCTGGCGGTATGCGCCTCCGCCTGCTTCTGCTGCTCGCGGTGTGCGGGGCGGCCGCCGGCGCCGCGGCGCGCACCCTCAGCCTGCGGGGCCGCTGGCGGATCCGCAGCGGGAACGGCTCGCTGGAGCTGCCCGGGGACGTCCCCGGGTGCGTGCACACTGCCTTGCTGCAGCAGAACCTCATCCAGGTAGTGCGTGCGGACCCCGCCGCGAGCCTGCGCCCGCCTGCCCTCGTGCGGAGCCCCGAGCCCCGAGCCCTGGGCCCTGCTCCTCCATCCGGCGCTAACTTCCCCTCTGCGTCCTGTGGTCGGGGGGGGGGGGGGGGGGTACAGGCCGGGGCGGTTTATCCACTGTGGCCGAAGAGCCCCGCGGGGGTCGGGCTCTATGGAGCCTGGCCGACCACGCTGGGACGTCAGGAACTGTGCCGGGCGAAGTTTAGAGAGCGCGGGCAGCGTTTCCACGGGGGGCTCCTTACGGCCGTGGTTCTCACTGGAAAGGGCACGTTGTCACTGACAAAGCGTAAGGCGGGGTAGGACTGTTTCAACTACCGGAACGGTGCGGGGGACGTGGTCTTTTGCTAAGTGTGAACTACATTCAGTAACGTCTCAGTTTTTCATTTTCGCTTTTCGTCCTCAGGGAGTCAGTTTTAGGATTGATGCAGCACTTAGGTTGCGAAGAATGGGATCTGCAGGTGTCAGGTGAGGAGCGTCAGTGCTAGTGGAAAGGCGAATGGCTGTTAAGGCTGACTGGGATATGAACAAAGGACTGTTTCCTCTCAGGGCGTGTAATGTGTGTGTGTGTTCCAAAAGATGCTCCAGTTTATAGACTCCTTGTGGAGGGTGTTTTCCTGTTTGGCTGCCTACATGCGGAGGTTTGCAAACAGACTTCCACCTTGTTTTCCCATTCTTTAATCCTCTTTGACTGGGACGACGTGTACTTGATAAATGGGGCATGCATTGTCCCGATCTTCATAACAGCTCTACGGAATAGGTCTTCTTATCTGCATTTTATGGTAGGGAGTTATGGAGCCCAGAAGAGTTAGAGAACTTACCCAAGACCACACAGTAACTAAGTGGCAGAAATGCAGTTCTAACCCAGGCTGGCAGGACTCCATAGCCTGGGTTCTGTAGGATGCTACACTTAACCTGGTGCTTTGGAAAATCATGTGGTTTGGAAGCACTGTGGTTGACTGTCAGGAGCATCATTCAAAGTTTACATAAATAACAGAACGGTCAACTAGGGTTATGCACAATTTCTGATCTGGTATGCGTTAGCTTTTTTTCAGGAATGTATATCAGAAAGGAAGTGAATGTTGTAAATGACACCACCACGGTCTGGTTTACTTTTTAAGTAAATAATTCTCAAACTTAAGTACTTTATTTTGAGTCAACAAACTACTTGTAACATAGTCCGCAGCTGACCTCATACCCTGGGACTTCGCTGACACGTGTCTTGAGAATGAGTGCCTGCGTTTATTTCGCAGGGTCTCTGCTTGCCTCATTTTATTGGTAGAGTTAAGCCAGTGGGAAATAATTAGTGGCTTTAGCAAATCAGATTGTTATTTTATGTTACAGGGCTATATATATCTCCAGAAACAATGTTTGGTTACTAGTTAACGAGAAGGAGGTTGCTCATGGTATGAGATAACTTTTCCTCGTGAGAATAATTCACGTCTGTTAAATCTCTTCAAAAATTCTTAGAAAAACATTGTCAATAAGGTGGATGTGAGTCTTAAACCATAGTGGGATGAGAGTGGGGCAGCTTTTTGGGGATTGGGGAGCTCCAGGCCTGTTGACAATAATCATCAACCTCAGTCTGATTACTGAGTAATGTGATGTTGTGATCCCACCTGCTTTATTACAGCATCTCTTTTTGGTGTTGACCTCGGGGAATATTCTGTAGTTTAGTGCAGACACTAGCTCAAATACTGTGTTTACATGAGAACTTGAAACATATCTTGCCTAAGTCATTCATTGATTTATTCATTCACCTAATTATCTCAGGTATTTAACGTGGCAGGCACTCTAACTGCTTGAAATTGAGCGGTGAAGAAAAAGGCTTTGTGCCGATAGACGTTGTAATGGAGGAGGTGGACAATAAACAAATTAATCAATGATATAATGACAGGTGATGCGCTGAAGAAAAATATGGCAGCTTAAAGGAACAGGGAGTGAATGCTGGTTGGAAAGGATTGCTATTTTAAAAAAAGTGGTTAAACATAGCCATTTTGATAAAGTGACTTTTAAGCGGAGATCTTTTTGATAAGGTCTGTTTCAAGGAGAAGTGCATTCCTAGCAAAGAAGAGAAAAAGACGGAAGTAGGGAGGGGAGAGGCCTTGAGGTGGGGATGTGCTTGACCAATTCCAGGAGTAGGGGCAGCCAGGTGTGGCTGGAGCCCTGAGAGCCTGGGAGGTGGAGGAGTTCAAAGCAGGGCTGGAGGGCAGATCATGCTGGGCTTGCAAACTGACCATGGAGACACTTTGCATTTCATTCTGTTTGTGATGGGAGTTTTGAGCTTGCGGTTGCATGGTTGGGTTTGCCTTTTGGAAGGTCATTCTGGCTGTTGTGTGAAGACTACAAAGCATCAGAATGGAAGCCTGGAGACCAGGTGGGGGTCTGTGGCTGTTGTCTGGGCGAGAAGTGACTTCTGGCTTGGACCAGGGTGGCAGCAGTGAAATGGTGAGAATGGTTGTGAGAATGTATTTTCAATGTAGAAGCAACAGGATTTGTTCAGTTGGGTTTGTTGATGGATTGGGTGGGAGGAGTGAGAGAAAGAGGAGTCAAGGAAAACTTCAGGACTTCTCAGTCTGATTAGTTGGTTAAATGGAGTTCTATTTCCCAAGAGGCTCTGTGGCCAGCCTTGGGCGTTCCATAGGTGGCTGCGTTTCCTCTACAGATGGAAATCTTAGGGCTCTAGGAGAGCCTTTTGGGCTCCCAGCCAAAGGTTATGCTTCATTCTTTCAGCCTTCTGTTATGCCACACACTAAAATAGGCAATGGAAATAAAGAAATGAGTAACACTCAGTTGCCTTTTGTGGGACGTCGTGTTCTAGTGAGGCAGAAAACCTCACTAATAACCATAGGGCAGGTAAGTGCTCAGATAAGGGACCCTTGTTAGCAATGTTCCCAGCCTTCCTGTGCAATTCTTCAGTGGTGTAAGTTTGAAAAGCTTTTTTTTTAAGAAAGATGTTCTCAGTGTGCCAAGTTAGAAAATATAGATAAGTAAGAAGAAGAAAACTCAGAGACCTGGCTTTCAGAGATAACGACAATTAACATTTAAAAATACACTATTATCCATTCAGGATTTGTCTATGTATATACACTGTCGACACAAACAATCCATAATCTATAAATCAAAATTGGGGTGAGTTTATTATAAGCTAGATCTGAGGACTAGCCTGGGGCCTTCCTTCCCCAGGGAAGGAAAGGCACCGAAGAAGTGGGGTGTACAGAGTGGTTATATACAGTCTTGGAACAAAGAGCATACATCACATATGATAGGAATGTCGCTTTTACAATTGTCATGAGATGCTAAGCTGGCACAGTAGGTCGGTGGTCAGCAGGTCAGTGGTCACAAGGTGAGCACAGCAGGTCGGTAATTAATCCTTAGTTCCCAGGAAGAGATGCTTATCCTTAAAGAAATGCCGATGTGGGGGAAAGTTACATTCCTGTCTTTAAGGGCATCATTCTTGTCTTTGGGACACTGTGAATGTTTAGAGCAGATGTACAATGCATGCTGAACAGGCCACTTCAGTCCCTTTTGGAAAAACAGTATCAGGCCAAATTAGTTTTAACCCAAATGACTTCCTCATATCCTCCAGTATATCCTATTGCTTGTCATTTACTTATCATTTTTCCCCTTTTGATCTATAATCTTTCAATAGAAAGCATTGATGATCAAAACATTGTCCCTCGGTGCTAGGGTGGTTGCTGCCTGCCCTGGGTCCATCATATCTCTTGGTGCCAGGCTTTTATCTCATTGATTTGCCCAGTTAGCCACATCAGAGGGAAGTAGTCAGACAAGCATAGAGGTGTATATTAACACAGGCAGCATTTCCTAGGTTATGTAATTTTTCAATTGATTTTAGGTTGTTGCACAAACATTGTACGTGTGCTTTGACCTGACTCCTTATGTTTACATTGTTTATAATTATGAAAGATTCATTTAAGACATTCACCTGCTTTTTCATGTGCTTTAGCGGAGATGACACATTGGAAGATTCATCATGTATAAAAGCACAGCATTCACTTTGAATGATTGTATAGGTACCACCTTGGGATGCAGTTAAAATATCTAAGCCCATTCTATTTTGAAGGACAGCCTTTCTCATTGAAGACATTTTAGTATTTAATAAGGCTATTCCTGCTTGGCTATTGTTAAAGGCTTGTCGAGTTGATTTAGTCAGGGCCTCTATATATGATATGCATCCTCTAGCTCCAAAGAAGGAACAAATATAGCTGCTAGGTGGTCATACCAGTGGAACACTGAATGAGCCCATCTGGCCTTAAAGAGAAGAATGTTGACAACTCGTGTTAGCTTAGAGTGAGTCCTTTCCTGCATCCAAGGGAAACTCAGGGTGCAGTGCTCTAGCCATCCAGGCGGTAGGCAAGGCCAGAGATTTGTTCCACATAACCACTGAGTTCCGATAGGAGCCACCTGGTAAATGCCTGGCCTTCAAGACCAGTCTGTTCTGAATCAATCACTTTCTTTAAGTGTGATAGTATTCTGAAAACCTTAAATGGAACATTATAAAATAGGTATACAGTTTAAGCATTGCAAAGGTTTAAATGAGGAGATATGAGATTGGGAACACAGGCCTGGTCCGGAGTCTTGGGACAGCCGTCTGCAACAGTTGCCATCTTCTTCTCATTCTGGTTTGGAGGTTTTCACATTGGTCAGCTGAAGTCTGGTATCAGAAATAGGAACTGAAACGCACTCAGGTGGAGAAGCCTTTTTTAAATGAAAAATGTGAATCCATGAGGGTCTGCCTTTTGATTCTGCAGCACATGAATGGGTTAAAAGTCCCTGGTATGGTGCTTTCCAACAGGGCTGCAGAGAGTCTTTGATTTGATGCCTCTTCTGATAAATAAATTCTCCAGGTTGTACACCATGATCTTAAGGTCTTCATCTCCTGGGAGCTCTCTGTGAAAAGAATCAGCTCCTAACCTGTCATTTCTTCTGAGTGTCTC